ATTGGGCACTGTCCTTTGTTAGACTATAGCCCATAGGCCCCTATTATGTGGATATTGTATTGCTATACCCCTTGTTTTTGGTTTTTGGTCTTTTGGGGCTTTTTGGTAGCTTTCTTATCTCAGAGCCAGGCAGGTGGGTGGCAGGTGGATGGCAGGTGGGTGGCCATTCAGCCTCCTGTCTTGTTGCCCCTGTCTGCCCTATTTCAGTTAATGTACATTAAGCTGTGCAGTTTAATGATATATAATTGCTAAATGATTGTTTTTCATTGTGATTATACCAATTCACAATGCTAATAATAGTTCACAAGCATTCCTTTTTCTTCACATCTTCACTAGCATTTGTTATCCTCTGTGTTTTGATGATAGCCTTTTTAACAGATGTGAAATGATATTTTGTTGTGGTTATGATTTACACATCCTAGAAAACCTGAGCAGTTAGAAAATTGAAATTGTTATCAAAAAGCTCAGAAAGAAAACATCTGGGTGCAGATAGGTTTACTGGTAAATTCTGTCAAACATTCAAAGAAAATTTGTACCTGCTTTTCTTGTATTTTCTGCAAAAAATTGTAAAGATGGGATTGCCTTCCAACTGATTTTATGAGACCAGCATTACCCTGATAACCAAAACCAGATAAGAACAACACAAAAAATAAAATTACAGAACATTATCTCTGGTAAATATGAATGCAAAAATCCTCAGTAAAATATTAGCAAATCAAGTTCAACAATACATTAAAAGAATGATAAATTATCAGCAAGTAGAATTTATTCCAGGGATGCAAGAATAGTTCACATACACAAATCAATTAATGTGATACACTGCATTAGTAATATGAAAGATACAAGCACTATGATCATTTCAGTAGATACAGAGAGTATTTGACATACTCATCATCCATTTATGATAAAGATTCTCAAAGCAATAGGTATAGAAGAAATATATTTAAACATAATGAAGACCATGTATGACAAACCTATAGCTGTCATACTTGTCAAACAAGTTCAGAATACCATTCTCACCACTATTAACATATTATTGGAGCCCTTGTCAGAGGAATTGGCAAAGAAAAATATACTTACTACAATTGTAAAGGAAGAAGGAAAACTCACTATTTGCAGATATGATATTATACATAGAACACTCACCTCTCTCACCTCTGTCCTATACCCCAGTTATTGTATGCATAAATAAATAAATCTTAAAGAAAACCCAAAAGCACCACAAAAAATACTAGAAACAATTAATGAACATGGTAAAGTTGCAGTTTACAAAATCAAAATGCGATAATCTGTTGTGTTTCTATACATAAACACAATCAATCCAGAGAGGTAATTAAGAAAACAGTATCGGGGGAGGGCAAGAAAAAAAAAAGAAAACAGTATCAATTGAAACAAAAAGTATAAAATACCTAGGAATAAATTTAACCAAGAAAGTGAAAGACCTGTATATTAAAAACTGTAAGACACTGTTAAAATTGAAATGGCCACAACAAATGGAAAGATACTTATGAATTGAAAGAATATTAAGATTACCATTTTATCTAAAGCAATATACAGGTTGAAGGTACTCCATATCAAAATTCCAATGGCATTCACAGAAAAAAACCAAAAAATCCTAAAATATCTCTGTCCTCACAAAAGACCTTGTTGAGCCAAAGTGATCCTGAGAAAAGAAACAAAAATGGAAACGTTTTCTTTCAATCTCAGTCTATGGATGACCAGTGTTGAGACTGTACTCCTCTTTGAGTTTCTTATTATAATTACATGATGCCTTTCAGCAGTAACCATTAGGAAATGTTGAAAAAATAAAGATTTATTATTTACAGGTCTTAGAAATTACACAGGACACCTGGGTCACAGTGAGTACATGGACATAAAGTGAAAGAGAGCACACTGGCTTGGGAAACTGCTCTTAGTGAGGTTAAGTTGGAGTTTTCAGGGTTTCATGGGCTCATGCTTTATTGGTACATTTAACGCATAAGAACTGGAATTTAAGGAAGAAAAATAAAAATAAAAACAAGTGGTCACAAAAGTTAACTAAATCAACCAGGATCTGTAAAACAAAGACGTCTCCATGGTGGGGAGGCATCCTTGCTTTCTTCTCTGTATTTGTGTTTAGATGATTCTGAGCCACAATAACCTTTTTGGGGCCATGAAGTGACAAAACGGAGGATTAAGGCCAACAAAGAGAAAACAGTGGTGTGTAAGGAACTGAATTCTTGAAGAAAGTGTTTTATTGCTGAACCAAATCTAGGGTACTTTAGAAAGTTCTATTTCAAATGAGTTTTTACTTGAGTAGTCTGTAAATTAAAGCTTGAAAGTTAGTGACTGATTAGTAGATGGTTGCATTCCCCAAGATACTAAATAAAATAGATCATTATAATTGAATGCCTTTATTGAGATTCTTGCTCCTTTTTTGATGAACATTGAAAACTATAGCTTTTGATGAGAAGGTGACTATGTGGAGATTTAAACTTAAATTTTTAATGTAATCTTTGGTTTGCTTGACCCATTTTATTTATTCATTATGCCTTGTTGTCTCTGAAATGTACGCATTTTCCACCATTTGTTATATTTGTGAGAAGACTTTTTTTATAATAATTTGTATATAATATATAATTTGTATATAATTTTGTATAATAATTGACAAAAGAATTAAAATAGTTCTCTCATGGCCTGTCATTTTATATATATATATATATCTACATTTCTTCCTTAATTTTAACCAAGACTTAATCATACTTTTGAAATTTGCACCTTCAATTTATTATCAAGTGGGTAATGGAAAATCATTAAAAGTTCTTGATTTAGCGAAAGACAGAGTTGTGCTTTCAGAACTTGTTCTGGGAGCAGTATGCATGAATAAATAATATGTGGGAAAATGCTATAATAATAGTTTGGAGTCACTACAATTCAACAGTACAATTCAGTTAAAGCCTAAAAAGTTACAAGCTGTATGGTGGCAGATGACAAGAATGGAGGTCATTATGGTTGTGGATGTTATTGTTTAGCAAGTGAGAAATGTGAAATATATCTTCAAATTTCTTATTCAAGGAACATGATATTTAAAAATATTGAGTTCTTTCTGTAGTGTTTTCAGCTAAGAAGCGAAGTATTAAATAAAACAGAAATGTTTATTTCTTATAGAACTTACAGTTTATAGGGAACACCAAAGTTATGATATTAAATGTCTGATGAGGGTTATAATAAAGAATCTACTGGAATTTATGAGATCATAAATAATGACACTGACATTTGTAGACTATTTACCATATGCCAGGCATTATGATAACTATTTTACTTAGATTATTTTAATTATTACAACATACAATGAAAGAGATGCTATTCTTACTACCCCTATTTTCAAAGATAAACTGAAGGAACTGCGAGATTAAGTAACTTACCCAAGGTATGTTAGCTAATAAGAGTGGAAGTAGGAACTTAAGATTCAAAACACCCTCTCGTCTCATAGTCTCCACCTTTTCTTTTTTTAAACTGAGCAACATTGCATTATAACTATATGCAAGTTTTAGATATTCACAAATGAGAATCAGCATGTGTATATACTACATTAAGTAAGATTTGGACCCTATTCTATGATGATATACACTAAATTATTTTAGTCCCATGCCAGGCAAACACAACTAAAGTGAATTATTATGTTTGAAAATTTCATATGAAGAAATAAGGAAGCCTGAAGGCAGAAACATTGCAGAAAAAAATTACTTTTCAGATATGGGGATACAGGGGGGATGGATGCTATAGTAGATTTCCCTTCAGAGATGAAGATAATAGGGAGATGGGAGTTTGCTTTGGATATTCATGGAAGAATGTACCTTCCCTAGAGTGATGTGAAAATGAGCAAAACATTGAATTCCCTAAGGAACTGAAGACAGTTCCTGGATATATAATTACCATATTACCTTTACACATCAAATTTATTCCCCATGGAAGAAACAAAGCAAGCTTCTACCTTGTTTATAATCAAGTGCATTAATAGAAAATGGGATAATAAAAAAACTTCACTTTCCTCTGCTGCTTGAGGGGACTCAAAGTCATAATCAGAAATTATGATCTGTGACTTAGAATATTTCCATGGTTTATCTGTATTTAAGTCTGGGCAGAATCCTCTTAGAATCATAGGAATCAAATTGCCTTTTCAAGACTGTAGAGGTAAATACAAAAGATCAGAGAATACTGAGATTTTTCTGATCTATGGATGGTGAGTTTCTAATTTTTATAACAATTTTATAACATTCTGTGCATTAATAATATTCCTTGTTTTGAGGTAAAGTCCAAAGACCTAGGATATGCCTATTTCTTTTCCATTTTCTGCAGCTCTGAGATTCAGGAGAAATTGGTACAATAATTTATTCAGGGGGATCAGAAATTTTCAGAGGCAAAGAGGGTACAAGCAGAGCAGAATCTGAGTTAGTAAGTTCCATCTCAATGAAAGGCGCTGTAACTCTTCTCTATCTATGGCCTTTTCGGAGACATGGGCAGTAATTCAACCTCTCCTAGAGTCTGGTTCCCTTACTTTTGGATTAGAAGCTATGTTCTTGGTTTTCAGTGCATCAGTATAATCAGCATTAGAAGTCAGCATACAATGCTAAGGACTCTGTCTCCCGTCTTACTGGTAAGAAGACTGTTCAAGTGAATGAAGAAATGGTGTAGGAAACAAAGATGATTCTGTCCTGGTACAGGGTTTTCTCCCTTGATTTTTCCAAAAGTCATGTTTGCATATGGCAGCACTGCTATATTTCTATGGAATAGATGTAATGCTTTGTTATATTTGGCTTCTTTAGCCTCTATTAGGGAAAAGTTAATATCATTCAGTATCATCAAAGGTGACCTCTGTGGGTCCAGGTAAGACAGGTGTCAGAACTTTCTAGTGGGCATACTCTTTCAGGATGTGTAGGATAAGATATTGTGGGAAGAGCTTTATTCAGGGCTGTTTGCTAAGGTAACCCTTTTTTCCTGTATCCACAGATTTCCTTAGAGAAAAATGGCTTCTGGAAATGGTTCTTTCATTACTGAATTTATTCTCATGGGTTTAACCAATCGACCAGAACTTCAACTTCCCCTGTTCTGTCTGTTTCTAGTAATGTATATGATCACCATGCTAGGAAATCTGGGTTTGATATTATTAATTGGGTTGAATTCACATTTACACACCCCAATGTACTTTTTCCTCTTTAATTTGTCCTTTGTAGACCTCTGTTATTCTTCTGTGTTTACACCCAAAATGCTGGTTAATTTCATATCAGAGAAGAATATTATCTCCTACATGGGTTGCATGACTCAACTTTATTTTTCTGCTTTTTTGGTATTTCTGAATGCTATGTGCTCATATCAATGGCCTATGATCGCTATGTGGCCATCTGTAACCCACTCATGTACAACAGTGCCATGTCTCCTAAGGTGTGTTCCAGCCTTATGTTTGGTTCATACTTGATGGCATTTTCTGGAGCCATGGCACACACAGGGTGCATGTTGAGACTGACTTTCTGTGATGCAAACATCATCAACCATTATTTTTGTGACATCCTTCCTCTGCTTCAGCTTTCCTGCACAAGCACCTATGTCAACGAGCTAGTAGTTTTCATTGTGGTGGGCATCAACATCATTGTGCCCACTGTCACCATCTTTGTCTCTTATGGATTCATCCTCTCCAGCATCCTCCGCATCAGCTCCAAAGAAGGCAGGTCCAAAGCCTTCAGTACCTGCAGCTCCCACATTATTGCTGTTTCTCTCTTCTTTGGATCATGTATATTTATGTATCTCAAACCGTCTTCTGCTGGGTCAATGGGTGAGGGAAAAGTATCTTCTCTTTTTTACACAAATACAGTTCCAATGATGAACCCCTTAATTTATAGCTTGAGAAACAAAGATGTTAAACTTGCTATGAGAAAAACTCTCAGAGGGAAAAAGTTTTGATCCAAAACACTATCTCATTTTGCAGTTAGTCACAGGACAGAGTCTGTATTGTGACTACAATAATTTTATTAGAAGATTCCTATCTATTGCTTTCTTACCATATTACTAACTTATATGCAGTCTTTATAGAGCATGTCTTCTTTCTTTCCTTTTCACAATTTCTTCTGTTCACACTTTTTCACATTTAGCAATGCTATTAAGGAATAAACTTAATTGTGTTTTTTATTCTTTATCATTTTGAACCTTTTCTTTCCTCTGGAATTAGAAGACTGCATTTCAAGTATTCAGATCAAGGTACATTAGGCTGATATTATGTTATTAACAATGTCTGATCTGCCCCTTGCCATTGGAAGCAAGAAGCAGATGATATGCTTCTGTGTTGGCCTATAGAATAAATGGAAGCACCTAAGGGTTTATATAATAATCATTTCTACATTCTCTTGATCTTTCTGTGGGAAGTTTCAGATGACCATTGTCCCTACTTAAATGATGACGCTACAAAGAAAAGCTAAAGAGTGGTTGCAGCAGAGTCTTTTTGGAGCAGGGAAGGATAAAGGGAACTCCCATCAAGCAGAGATGTGTAGAGGGCTCTGGAGTGTTGGCAGAATTTTATTTATAGATCTACATGGTTGTCCAAAGCTGTGCACTTTATAATGATGAGAAGTGTATATTTTGTAGTATTTTAATATGTATTCATGTTACTTCTCACAATATATTAAGGTCACAAAATTTTGATAATATCTCAACTTAAGGTGCACGTGAAACTAATCAATAAGCAAGACTGAGATTAGAGGCCCAAGTATTTGAGAACAGCTTTCTAAAAGAGAAGACTCTCAGAAGAAACTAGCAGAGTCAGGGTAATATATGGAGTGATTCAGACCAGTCTGGGGTAGTTAGTCCTTGACCACTCTTGATGGAGAATTTCCATTAATATCTCTGGGAGGTGGAAAGTCATTATAATCCCATTGTATAGATTTGTATTAGGGTCTATATCATTATGTTTAATGAAAGAATACAGTTCTCATTCTGTATTATACAATTTCAATTTAACTCCTAATTTTTTCATAAAGTATTTCCTTAAATAAATTCTTCAGTAATTATTTTTGATATCTGTAATGAAATGAATTTGAAAATGGAAATACTTTGTCATAAAGAAAAACTGTACTTCGTCACTAGAAGTATCATAACACATTATTAATGAATAACAACCAGGTTTCACAATTATAATAGGAGTTCGGAGGTGATTCAGCTTTAATTTTCTGTTGCTTCCAAAAGTTTTGGGTTAAGTTTTTTTTTTTTTATATTTTAGTTATATAAGCTTTGTTCCTGGAGATCAGGATGGACGTAAGTCAGAAGGTGAAATTCAGGTTGGCTCAGCTAGGTGGAGAGTGAATCAACAGTTGACCCCTAGTCTTTGTCTGTATAAGCTCACAATGCAGCCATCCTGAGTTTTACCTTTTATTTAGGAAGTCACAGCATTGGGAACTTGTCATGGTTTCAGAATCCATAATTTTATTTGTAAAAGTGATGATGAAACATGATGTTGAAAATGGAATTGAACAGTTACAGTTTTTGCTGGGAATAATGAAGGAAAAGGAAATAAATATTAGACTCGAATGGGATAATTATGCAAACTAAATGCCAAGGATAAGAGGTCATGCATCACTAACACTAGGATTAAGAAATATAAAGAAGATTAATTGTACTATAACAGAACTCTTGTATCTTTTCCATGTTTTCTCCTTCCTGGATCCTCCTGCCCTCTGTCATTTGATTCCCTAAAACTGGGTGAATGTAAGAATGGAAGAATGTACCTTATATCCCATTGCTGTAACATCTGTTATAAGCATCTATTACATTGAATTATAAGTGCTTTTTAACATTCAGTTGTCACTCTCACTAAATAAGTAAAACTAGAAGCAGATTCTTTCACTTAATAAGTGAGTAACTGAGTAACTGCATGGAGTATGATCCAAAAATTATTGATGAAAGAAATCATGTTTTAATGATACTAACCATATTTGAGGTACAGAGAAGAAAATGAAATTAAGTAACACTTTAAACTCTCTCAGCACTCAGTTATATAGATATGCCTTTGATTTTAGTCTCTATGGCAGACTCCCCTCCAGGTACAGCTGACAAAGCAAGCACAACCCATGCATATACCTCACCTGAAGTTATTTAACTTGCATAAATGAAATTTTGTACTTTTAAACTATGGTTTCCAGATTTATTTGCCCATCCTCAGCCACTGTACACTATTTCATTCTCCATTGATCAGTTTGATTATTTTAGATTCCTCATGTATATGGGATTACAGAGCATTTGTCTTTCTGTGTCTGGTTAAGAACACTTAACCTAATGGTCCAGTCACAGAATTTCTTTAAGACTGGATAATGTTCCATTATATGTATAGAACTTATTGATACATTTATCTATCAATGGACACTTAGTTTCTTTCTACATCTTGACTATTATGAATAATGTTTCAAAGAAAATAAGAATGCTGATAACTCTTGAGATACAAAGGGAGTGGTGGATTTACAAGAAAATTGTATTTTAATTTTTTGGGTGTCTCCATCCGGGTTTTCCATTGTATCTCATTGGTCTGTATTTCCACTAACAATAAAGGAAGACTTCTTCCTTCCCCCTACCCTCCATATCCTCGCCAAAAATGTTGTTTTATTGTTGGTTAAAAAAAGTTTAAAATAGAAATTCCATGGATCCAGTTATCCCACCACTGGAAATTTACCCACAGAATATGAAAATACTAATTTGAAGAGATATGTGCATCCTCATGTTCATCACAGCATTATTCACAGTACCCAAGGGAAGGAACTAACCTAAGTGCTTACTGACACTAAGTGATTGCTGACAGATGAGTAGAAAAAGAAGATGTGGCCTATATACTAAATGAAATAATATTCAACTACAGCTAAGGATGAAATTCTGTCATTTACAATAAAATGGATGGACTAGAGGATATTATGCTAAGGGAAATAAATCAGAGGGAGAAAGATAACACTGTGATTTCACTGATGTGGGTGATTAAGAAACAAAACTCATGAATAAACAAAACAAAACTGTTAGACAGCAAGAACAAAATATTGATTATCAGTATGATGATTTGTAAATCAGGTAAAAGGGGTCAATTATATGTTGAAAGATGGAAAATGGATTTTTAAAAAATGATTTATTTATGCATACAAGAACTAGGGTACAGGCCAGAGGTGTGGAGGGTGAGAGGATTCACCAGAGATAGAGTGGGGAGCAGAACAGGCAGACTGACTGAAGTACACTGCTGAGGGGAGCAGCGGGCAAGTCAGGGGAGGTCTGATGCACCATATGGGCTGCTCCCTGGCTAGGGATTGAACTCATGCTGCAGTGGCTGTGGATAGCTTCATAGGTTGCGTCTTAACCCCCTCGCGCCACCAGGGAGGAATTGTTATTAGTAAACAGTGTATATAGATGTTGATTTATAATGATGTACATCTAAAACATATGTTATAAACCAATATTACTATGATAAAAAATTTAAAACATTAGAGGAAAATGAATTCATTCATGTTCCTTAATTATAAAATTTTTGGTTTTCAGTTATACCCTGTAAAATTAGAAAAAAACAAACAGAAAAAACAGTGAGTTCAGTTTTTTAGTTTTTTGCAGTTTTTTTTTTTTTTTTTACAAAATTTCAGTTGCCCAGTGGGTAAGGTAAAGCTGTTGAAAGTTCTTGAACTAGATAAGAACAGAATGTATTTTCAAAACTTGGTCAAAAATCAGTGCAGAAGGATAAATAAAAGGGATCATGTAAGAATATCCTTAAATAATAGTTAGGACTCACTAAAATACTGTAATAGAGTTAAGTTAAAACCTAAAACTGCCAGAATATGTGGTGGCTGATGGAAGGGTATGGGAATGATTTTGGTTGTAGACTCTGTTGCTCAGTATATGAGAAATTGTGGAAAATATTCTGGAGGTGTTCAACCAGAGAACACCCTCATCTTCAGAAATATAAAAATCCTACTATCTCTCTCTACTGTACTTACAAATTAGAAAGAACAAGTTTTGTTCCTATAGAATTTATAAAATTGATTGGGAACGCAGCAATTAAGGTTAAAAAAAGTGTCATAAAAAGGGGTCTGCTGGAATTTAGAGAACATAAATAATGACAACTGATTTATTGGCAATTTACCATGGGTCAGGCAATGTTCTAACTGTTTAACTCCCATTTCATTTGATCATCATAACAATTACTGGAAGAAATGCTGCTTTTAACATTCCTTTTTTACAGAAAGAAAGAAGCACAAGAAATCCACAAGGTACAGTAGTTAGTAAGAATGGTTATAGGATTCACCCCTGTCACTCCATCTCCCCCACTGTATTTTTACAATGAAAAGAAATACATGACATCAGTTACTGAAATAGTCCATCTAAGACCCCAGCAGAATAGTCAGGTAGAAATTTCTAGTATCTGTTTCAAAGCTAGAACTTTAAAAGCTGTGTGACGTTGCAAGTTACTTAGATATATCTCAGAGAGACAACTGAGAGGAGAGTCTGTGTCTTGAAGTTTCAGATAAAGAAGTAAAGAATCCTGGAGGTAAAATCTTTCAGAAAATTTTCCACTTAATATATGGGAAGAAAGAAGACAAAAAGCAATTGGTTTCCCAGCAGAGGTGAAGATATTAGGGAGCTGGGAGTTTATTTTAGGCATTGTCTTGGGAGATGTACAATCCCTGGAGTGGTGGTAAAACTTGAGTAAAATATTGAGTCCCTGCGAATTAAAGACCGATCACATGGCCCGCTGTAAATACAGTCCTATTATTTCCCTTAGCCATACAGAATCTATTCCCTGGGAAAAAACTGAGCAAGCTTCTACTCTGTTTTTAGCAAGGTAATTATATCATTAAACTCACACTCATCTGTATCTTACCAAGTGGCATAGACAAAGAGAATAAGAAAGACTGCTTATTTTCCTTTCTTGCTTGAGAGGACTCAAGAGTCATAATCAGAAACTGATCTGTAGTTCAGAAAGATTTCCGGGGCAGATCTGAAATTAAATTTGTGCAGCATCTTGTTTGAATCCATGGAACTAATACTTGAGAACCTGAAATTGGCCTTCCAGGACCACGGGGGCAAATAACAATGAGGAGGCAGCACTGGGAGTGGTGAGGAGGTGAGTTCCTGAATTCCAGTTATGGAATGGCCCACTTGAGAGGTGGGAACCCAGAGTTGGAAGCTGTGCTCCTGTCTGTCCCATCTTGTTTAGTTCTGAGTATCAGGAGAAACTGGTAGAAGAATTAGCTGGCAAGGGACGAGGAGAAGGTGTGCACAGATACTGAGTTCCTCCGTGGGTGCAGTAGGTCAGTAAGTTTTCTTTCCTCGAGTGGAACTTTTGCTTTTATACTTTTGTCTTCTGCTCTGTGACAAAAGCAGTGACTTCATGTCTCCTTGAATCTGCCCCTTACCTTTGAATGAAATTACGTTCTCTTTCCCACCCACCAGGTCTCATGTCACGGGGGCCAGCTCCTGTAATCAGGGCTGCTGGGTCCACATTCCCTGGCGAGGGGAGGGTTAAAGGTGAATGAAGATGGGTGAATGAGAGAGGGATTCTGCCCTGACCCATCTTTCTCCCTTCGCAGGCAGTTTGCCTTAGTACTGGCCTTCCCTCTGCAGGCGAGGTTTATGATGCTTTTGCCTTATTTAACTTTGAATGTTATTAAATGGAAAGTTAGCATCACTCAACCATAGGACAGTGGTAAAGGCAGATTTTATTGCTCTAAATGGGGTTAGTCTCAGATATTTCTAGCTGCCATGCAACTGTCCCAGACTGGGCAGGTTCATGGTTGATTAGGGCAAATGGAAGAGTATTGATGCCTTTGGTAGATCTGACAGGCCTGTATGTTGAAGCAGGGGACAGGGTAACCAGACAGACCGGCATGCAAGGAGGCAGGCAGTTAGCAACTGAGCCTCTTAGCCCCAGAGATCGCCACAGTCACCCTTCATTCTCCTTCATCTTCCCCCTCTGATCTCTCTCTCTCTCTCTCTGTCCTCTCTGACTTCACTCCTCTCTGGCTTCTCACCTGGCTGTCCTTCATTACAGGTGCATGTGTCCGTGCTTACTCTCTCAAGCACTTTTTGCAATAACAAGATATCAAGTGTGGGTAATGAAACAAAGCCACAGGTGGTGGCGGCCATAGAGACTGGTGGCCGGAGGTGAAAAAGAGCTTGAGCCACCCCATATACAGCACACAAGCACATACAGCTTCTTCTCGAAGAGATATTAGATATTGTCAGAAGAGTGGGATTTCCATCTATTGTAACCTTTTCCCTGTGCTCACAGACACCGGTGGAGACGAATGGCTCTCATCAATGACTCTCTCGTGACTGAATTCATTCTATTGGGATTAACAAACCGACCAGAGCTCCAAATCCCCCTGTTTCTCCTATTCCTCATCATATATATGTTCACAGTTTTGGGAAATTTGGGTTTGATCATTTTAATTTGGTTGAATCCACTCTTACACACCCCTATGTACTTTTTCCTCTTTAACTTATCCTTCATAGACTTCTTTTATTCTTCTGTGTTTACACCCAAAATGCTGGTTAATTTTATATCAAAGAAAAATATTATCTCCTACTCGGGGTGCATGACTCAGCTTTACTTTTACTGTTTTCTAGTCATTTCTGAATGCTATATGTTGACATCAATGGCCTATGATCGCTATGTGGCCATCTGTAACCCACTCATGTACAACGTTGCCATGTCTCCAAAGGTGTGTTCCAGTCTTATGCTTGGTTCATACATGATAGGGTTTTCTGGTGCCCTGGCTCACACAGGAAGCATGCTGAGACTGACCTTCTGTGATGCAAACACCATCAATCATTATTTTTGTGACATCCTTCCTCTGCTCCAGCTTTCCTGCACAAGCACCTATGTCAATGAGCTGGTAGTTTTCATTGTGGCGGGCAGCAGCATTATTGTTCCCAGTCTCACCATCTTTATCTCTTATGGATTCATCCTCTCCAGCATCCTTCGTATCAACTCCAGGGAGGGCAGGTCCAAAGCCTTTAGTACCTGCAGCTCTCACATTATTGCTGTTTCTCTCTTATTTGGCTCAGGTGCATTTATGTATCTCCAGCCCTCTTCTGTTGGGTCTATGGATCAAGGAAAAATCTCCTCTGTCTTTTATACCAATGTGATTCCCATGATGAACCCTTTAATTTATAGCTTGAGGAATAAAGATGTTAAAGTTGCTCTGAGAAAAACCCTTTGTGGGAGAAATATTTGATGAGATATAGTGTCTGTGTATTTAGATATGACTGGTAGAACCTTTTTCTTAAAATAGTTTAAGTGTGAACCTTCGGGTCCTATATCTTTGTACCATGGTTAAAAATTGAATTATCTCTCAATTTGTTTCCTCATTCTAACAATAGATCTTCCTTTCTCCCTCGTCACAATTCCTTTTCTTTTTGAATTTTGCCTGCTGAAGAATAGAATTAGATCAAATGTATCTTTGTTTTACATTCTTATTATGGAGGTTCTTTTTTTTCCTCCTGGAAAAGATGAACAGTTGATCAACTTGATCAGTTCTGCAGTTGATCAAGTGGGGTAATAATGTGCTGTCATGGGGTATCTTATCTGCTACTCAAAATGTGCTTTTGGAATCAAGAATCAAATCATCTTTTCTACTTCTGTCTTTACATCCTCCAATGACCAGGCATGTACCTGCTTTAAATACCAGCATTTCCCAAATGTGAGTTTGCAATAACTATATAAAATATAATCTACATTCCAAATGCAAACAGCATGTATTAAAATTCTTGCAGAGATTTTATATTTACTGTTGCACTGTTCATAGAAGTGAATATTAAATTGGTATATAAAGGATCATCAATATGTATTTATAACATAGACATGATCCAAAGCTCAGGAATGTCAATTAAGTCAGATAGATTCTTAATGAAACATAGATAAAATGTAACTTGTTTTTAAGTCTACTCTTTCAAAAATAATTTTAGTCTACTTCACCATGTTTTTATTGCAGTAATCATGAAATATGACAAAAATTTCTATTTTGAAAGTTTACTTGTTATGGTTTTATACATTAATATCTCTCAGGGTTATAGTTTTTTAAATAACTAAGGAATATAGTTTGCTGATTCTTTTTCATATGAAAGAGAAGTCCTATTGGGTTAAGGTTGCTGATAGATGATTGAAGCTGACATTTTCTGTCAAATCATTTAAAAAGGATTTAGAGTGTTTGCAAACTCTTATAATAAAAAAATAGGATGCTGGAGAAAAAGCATTCCAGTATGTCACTAGGCAAAAAGCAAATGAACAAAACTGAAACCAAATATATAATAATCAAGAGCTTCTCTGGGGCGGGGCGGAGTGGGGATTGAGTTTTATTTATTTTTTATTTTTAAGATTTATCCATAGAAGAGCTGAATAATAAATACAGAAAGTATCTTTAGAAAGTAAAATGATGGGGGAAAGAAAGTCCTTTCTATGATACTGCTCTTTTTTGGAAGACCTTAGAAATATGATGGAAATCACAGGGTTTCTCTAGATAGGATAAAAAGCTCAGGTTCTTTGATATTGACAAGTTAAACCCACAGGGTCAGAGTTCTTATGAACAACTAAATCACACAAGGTTTGATGGTTTCTGTTGACTTCTCCGTGATGGATTTTAAGAGACAAAAATCTTTGAACCTTAACTGAGGGAACAATGAAAATTTGAAAAAAACTTTTAATGAATAAGTCAATTGGTGACAATATGTTTTCTGTAATAAGATTAAACTTATTTTTTCTCAAATACAAGTGATATCATAGCATTCTCTGTCTAAATTATTTCACTTAGCCAAATGTCCTCTTAGGCAATCTACAGGGTGGCAAAACATGAGATTTTTTTTTTCTTTTCCATAGCTGAATAAGATTCCATTGTTTTTATATAACATATACTTGAAAGTTGCTAAGAGAGTACCTCTTAAAAGTTGTCTCTGAAAAATGGAATGGTAATTTTATAACATGAAGAAGGTATTAGCTAAAACTGTGGTGGTAGTCACATTGCAATATGTAAGTGTGTCAATTCAGTACATGTGCACAGTGTTAATGCCATTATATTTCATTTTCTTTGAAAGAATAAAAATGCTTCTCACAGAGATAAGGACATTTGGAAAGGGAGTGTAAAATGCCTTTTACATGAAATATATTTTGCAATCTTTTACTTTCAGCATATGTGAGTTACTCATAGACAGTATACACTTAAATCTTTTTTTTCTTATCCACTCAAAATTCTGTATCTATTGGTGGATGCATTTAATTGTTTTACATTTAAAAATTTATTGAGTACGTATTAAAATTTATCAGGAGTATGTATCATTGTAATTTTTGACAGTTTTTTCTTTTTTGTACTTTTGTCTATCTTTTGATGGTTTTCTTTCATTGAATAATTGGAATGGTATTTTGATTCTTTTGTACAATTTCTTTATGTATTTTCTTTGTGGTTACCTTGGAACTTAAATGTCTTATAATTATTGTAGTCTTTTAAGTTGGGTAGAGTTTAAATTGAGCGACATAAAATTCTATGCTTCCATTCCTCTCCACACTTAATGTTTGTGACTTAAAATCTTTTATTGTGTACCCATTATCATGGTTTTTTTTTTAGTTGTAGTAGTTTGTAATACTTGTTTTTAACTCTTGTAACAGAATTGAAAGCAATTCACCCACCACCATTGCAATTATGCAGCATTCTATATATTTCTGTTGTTTATCAACTTAGTCTAAACTTCCAAGCATCTTATTTTGCTACTCCTCTTCCCTCCTTCTCAGTTGACACTCCCTTCAGCTTGTCTGTTTAGGTAGGTGTAGTGATGATAATCTCCGTCAACTTTTCTTTGTCTGAAAAGCTTTTTACCTGCCCTCATTTTTGATGCATGGTTTTTGCCTTGTTTGTCCTTTCTTCAGCACTTTAACTGTGTCATCCCACTCCCTGTGTTCTGCAAAATTTCTGTGAAAAATCAACTTAGATTCTTCCATGTGATCCATTGTATGTGACAAGTTGCTTTTCTCTTACTGCATTCAAAATCCTTTGTGACAAACTTGAAAACCAACGCTTGAAAGCTGACCATAGGTCTGTGGCTTTCAGAGAATGAGCAGGAAGATTGAGAATTGAGGGGTCTGGGGGAAGCACAATGGACTGTGGTGGAGGACTGTGCTCCAGTGGTGGGTATGCTGAGGTGACTACACAAGGCGGGAGTGGAGGATTTCCTGACAAAACACTACCAAGGATGTAAAATAATGGTTCTTCAATAACAATGAATGAATGAATGAGTGAATGAATGAATGAATAACCCCAAAACAAAATTCTCTTTGTATTGCTTTGTATTGACTTTTGATAATTATGATATTTGTACGGATTCTTTGTGGTAGTTTCTTTTGAAATTACTTTTGCTTCTTGATTTTGGATATCCATTTCCTCACCTAGATTTCAGAATTTTTCAGCCATTTTTATTTTGTATAATTTTTCTGTTCCTTTCTCACTGTCTTTGCTTATTGAGATTTCTATAGTGCATATATCAGTCTTACCGGTAGTGCCCAGTATGTCCCTTAGGCTTTTTTTAACCTTTACTCATTGGGTTTTGTGTGTGTTTGTTTTATTCCTCTGACTATATGATTTCTAAGGATTTTTTAAAAAGTTGCTGATGCAAATTTTGTGTGATCCAGTCTGCTGTTGAATACCTCTAATGAAATTTTCATTTTAATTGTTTTCTTTATCCCCACAATATAAACTTAATATTTTTAAGTTATTTCTTAAATTATTGTCATTGGAATTTCCATTTAGTTTATGCGCTGCTTCTTACAACAGTGATCATCTTTATTACAGTTATTTTCAATTCACTCCAGGGAAATCTCATGCTTCCATTTCATTACAGTCAGTGTGTAATGGTCTATCATGTTTGTTTTTGGAAAATATTTCTTTGTGTCTTTATTTTCCTGACTCTCTGTGCTGGTATGCCCGTAGTACAGAAAACAGTGTTCTAACATCAGGGACTTGCCTTGCATTAGAGAAGATTCACAGTAGTGAGTCCAGCCAGTGATTCTAGGGGCCTCTCAGTTTTTATGTTCAAACCAGCTTCTTTGTTCTTAGTACCCCACCACCCCAAGTGAACTGAGTACTCGGTCTCATCAGTCTCTAAAACAAGCCAGACTGAAGCTGTTTTTGCAGGCAGTTCCCAGGTAACTCGTGTCATCGGAAGCATGGTGCACCTTTTTCATGCATCAGCACCAAGCTGGGGGAAGAGGATTTCTACCACTAGCTTTGTGCTAAGTTAGGGGCAGGGACTCAAAACCATCTTTGTTTTCTGTCAGCTGGGCAGGTAAGGTATGTCTTGTCCCATGCCTCCTCCACTTTCTGAGATAGGTCATCCAGACCAAGAAAATCTAGGTCGTTGATGTGTGTCACACCCCTTTCTCTCCCCATGGAGAAGTTGGGAGCTGTGGTGTGTTGTCTCAATCACATGGAATTGTGCAAGGATAGGTATCAGGACCAATGGCTATCTTAAGTTTCACTGACAGCTTCGCTATGACTGGTTCCATGTTTGAATAGGGTGCAAGAGCCTGAACTATTTTGTGGATTTTTTACAAAATTGATATGTACATGAATATTTTGAAACATTGTGTCCATGGAAATGGTTAGGACTCCTGTTCTGCCATCTCGTTAAATGTAAATTTATAATTTAAGAATCAAAGATGTTAAACTTGCTATGAGAAAAACCCTTAGTTGGAGAAAGTTTTGATCCAAAACAATATCTCTTTCTGTAATTAGTCACAGCACAAGGAGATTCTGTTGCAATTACAACAATTTTATTGGTGTGTTCTTATTCATTGATTTCTTACTATATTGAAGGAAATTGGAGTATGTACTTACTAATTTATATCCAGTCTTTATAAAGTATGTCTCCTCTCTTTATTTTCATGATTTTTTTTCTTCACACTTTTTCACATTTAATCACACGACTAAGGATAAATTTATTAACTGTTTTTTGTTCTTTTTATTTTCAAACCTTTTCTTTCCTCGGAATTAGAAGACTGCATTTCAAGTATTCAGACCAGGGAACATTACGGTCACATTATGTCATTGGCAATGTCTGATCTGCCACTTGCCATTGAAAGCAAGAAGCAGACAATATGCTTTTACTATGTTTAGCCTATAAAGTGAATGGAAACACGTTGAGGTTGACATAATAATCATTTCCACATTCTTTTGAGCCTTCTGTGGGCCAACTTCAGATGACCATTGCCCCTACTTAAATGCTTTAGTTCAGCAGAGTCAGGGTAGTATATGGAGTGATTCAGACTAGTCTGGGGTAGAGACAGTCCTTGACCACACTTGATGGAGAAATATAATGATGAAAATGGAAATGAAATTTGTAGTTTTTGCAGGGAATTATAAAAGAAATAAAAATTAGAATTAAAAAAGATAAGCATGCAAACTGATTGGGAAGTATAAGAGGTCACTCATCAAAAACATTACGATTTGGAAATACTAAAGAGATAATTTTACTAAAATAGATTTCTGACATGAATCTTTTCAAGTGTTCTCTTGCCTGAACCCACTATCTCCATCCATTCCTCTGTAACCTACGGATATTTTCTTCCTGGAAGCATAGTCTGATGCCCTAAGACTGGGTGAAGCTTCACTTCTTTGACTTACATCCCATTGCTGTAACATCTGTTGTAAGCATCTATCACATTGTATTATAAGTGCTTTTTAACATTTATTTGTCACTCTTATTAAATAAGTAAAACTAGAAGCACATTCTTTCACTTAATGAGTGAATGACTGCATATAGTATGAACCAAAAATTATTGGAAAAAGTAATCATGCTTTAATGATACCAGTGGAATTTGAGGTACAGAGAAGAAAATGAAATAGACACTTTAAACTCTCTTCACATTCAGTTGTATAAATATGCCATTGCTTTTAATGTGTTGATCTTATATCCTGTTGTTTTACTAAATGCTTTAGTTCTAAGAGGATATTGGTAGAGTCTTTAGAACTTTCAAATCATGTCATTGATCAAATGAAGGGGTGGAAGCAAGACATGGCAGAATAACTCTACTGCAGACTCCACTCCATATACAGGTGACAAAGCAAGCACAACCCACACCTACACCTGACCTGAACTTATTTAACTTGTATAAATGAGATTTTCTAACATTTGACTGTCAATTTTCAGATAATTCTGCCCCCCCCAAGTCACTAGTAAAATTTATTCACTTTACATTGATCAGTTTAATATTTGAGATTCCTCAAATACCTCAAATATATATGTGAAATTATAGAATATTTGACTTTCTGTGCCTGGCTCAAATCACTTAACCTAATGGTCTCCTGTTTCATCCATCTCATAAGTCATAGAATTATTTTCTTTTTTAAGACTGGATAATGTTCCATTATATATATATATATATATATATATATATATATAACTTGATGCATTTATCTGCCAATGGACATTTTATTTCTATATCTTGACTATTGTGAATAATGTTTCCAAGAAAATAAGTGTCCATAACTCTTTAAGATACAAATTTCATTACCTATATCTATACATCCAAAAGTAGGATTGTGTTCTGACTAGGAATATCTATTTAAATTATTTTGGGTGTCTCCATACTGAATTCCATACTTGCTCATCAGTTTACATGTGTAAACTGATATATGTATGTATGTGACATTGCAAATTATTTAGATAGATCTCCAAGAGACAATTGAGAGGAGATAATATATCTGGAAAAGTTACAGATCAAGAAATAAAGAATCCTGGAGGTAAAATATTTCAGAAAATTTTCCACTTAGTATATGTGAAGATAGAGGGCAAGAAACACTATCATAGATTCCCAACAGAGGTGAAAATAATGGGAGCTGGGAGTTTATTTGAAGCATTGTCTTGGGAGATGTACAATCCCTAGAGTGGTGGTAAAACTTGAGTAAGACAGATTAAAGACAGATCAAATTAAAGACAGATCACTCAACCCAGCCTGTAAATACAGTCTTATTATTTCCTTACTCCATATAGATCTACTCCCTGGGAAGAAACTGAGCAAGTTTCTACTCTATTTATAGCCAGGTACATTATATCATTAAACTCACACTCATCTGTATCTTACCAAGTGACATAGACAAAGAGAATAAGAAAGACTGCTTATTTTCCTTTCTTGCTTGAGAGGACTCAAGAGTCATCATCAGAAACTGATCTGTAGTTCAGAAAGATTTCCGGGGCAGATCTGAAATTAAATCTGTGCAGCGTCCTGTTAGAATCCATGGAACCAACACTTGAGAGCCTGAAATTGGCCTTCCAGGACCACGGGGGGAAATAACAATGAGGAGGCAGCACTGGGAGTGGTGAGGAGGTGAGTTCCTGAATTCCAGTTATGGAATGGCCCTCTTGAGAGGTGGGAGCCCAGAGTTGGAAGCTGTTCTCCTTTCTGTCCCATCTTGTTTAGTTCTGAGTATCAGGAGAAACTGGTAGAAGAATTAGCTGGCAAAGGATGAGGAGAAGGTGTGCACAGATACTGAGTTCCTCCGTGGGTGCAGTAAGTCAGTAAGTTTTCTTTCCTCGAGTGGAACTTTTGCTTTTATACGTATGTCTTCTGCACTGACAAAAGCAGTGACTTCATGTCTCCTAGAATCTTCCCCTTACCTTTTTTTTTTTTTAAAGATTTATTTATTTATACAAGCACTGGGTACAGTCAGAAGCATGGGAGGGTGAAAGAATTCACTAGAGTCAAAGCGGAGAGCAGAGCAGGCAGACTGACGAAGTACACTGCTGAGGGGAGCAGCGGGTGGCAGGAGAGGTCTGCGTGCCATGTGGGACCCTCGCCTGGTGGCTGGGGATCAAACTGGCACAGAGGCTGCAGAGGCTGCGGGCAGCTTAGCAACCCAGTGGTCAACCGCTGCGCCACCGGGGAGGCCCTCTGCCAATTACCTTTAAAACTAAATTCTCCTCCCTCCCACCAGGTCTCATGTCACAGGGGCCAGCTCCTGTAATCAGGGCTGCTGGGTCCACTTTCCCTGGTGAGGGGAGGGTTAAAGGTGAATGAAGATGGGTGGAAGAGAGGGAGGATTCTGCCCTGACCCATCCTTCTCCCTTCACAGGCAGTTTGCCTTAGTACTGGCCTTCCCTCTGCAGGCGAGGTTTATGATGCTTTTGCCTTATTTAACTTTGTTATTAAGTGGAAAGTTAGCATCACTTTGTGTCATGACAATGGTAAAGGCAGATTTTAATGGTCCAAATGGTCCAAATGGTCCAAATATTCTGAGATATTCCAAACATGTATACCTTCTTGTAGGAAATTGTCAAAAGTGTTGGGTTTCCCTCTTATTTAACCTTTTTGTTGTGCTCACAGATACCCGTGGAGAAGAATGGCTCTTGTCAATGGCTCTTCTGTGACTGAATTTATTCTCTTGGGATTAACAGACCAACCAGATCTCCAAATGCCCCTATTCATCCTGTTTGTTATCATATATATAGTCACGATGTTGGGAAATTTGGGTTTGATAACTTTAATTTGGTTGAATTCACACTTACACACCCCCATGTATTTTTTCCTCTTTAACTTATCCTTCATAGACTTCTTTTATTCTTCTGTGTTTACACCCAAAATGCTGATTAACTTTATATCAGAGAAGAACATTATCTCCTACACGGGATGCATGACTCAGCTTTTCTTTTTCTGTTTCTTTGTCATTTCTGAGTGCTATGTGCTGACATCAATGGCCTATGATCGCTATGTGGCCATCTGTAACCCACTTATGTACAACGTTGCCGTGTCTCCTAAGGTGTGTTCCAGTCTTATGCTGGGTTCATACATGATAGCGTTTTCCAAAGCTATGACCCATACAGGATGCATGCTGAGACTGACCTTCTGTGATGCAAACAAGATCAATCATTATTTTTGTGACATCCTCCCTGTGCTCCAACTGTCTTGCTCAAACACCTATGTCAATGAGCTGGTAGTATTAATTGTGGTGGGAATCACCATCATTGTGCCCACCATCACCATCTTTGTGTCTTATGGCTTTATCCTCTCCAGTATCCTCTGCATCAGCTCCAAAGAAGGCAGGTCAAAAGCCTTTAGTACCTGCAGCTCTCACATTATTGCGGTTTCTTTCTTCTTTGGCTCAGGTGCATTTATGTATCTCAAGCCCTCTTCTGCTGGGTCAATGGATCAGGGGAAAATCTCCTCTGTCTTTTATACCAATGTGATTCCCATGATGAACCCTTTAATTTATAGCTTAAGGAATAAAGATGTCAAAATTGCTCTGAGAAAAACCTTGTGTAGGAGAAAGATTTGATGAGAAATAGTGTCTGTGTATTTAGTTATGATAGGTAGAATCTTTTATTAGAATAGTTGAAATGTGAACCTTCAGGTCCTATATCTTTGTACCATGGTTAAAAATTTGAATCTTCTCTCAATTTATCTCCACTTTGTAATTTTAGATATTCCCTCCTCCCTGGTCACAATTTTTTCTCACATTTTTTCCTGCTGAAGAATAAAATTGGATCAAATGTATCTGCTTTTTACATTATTATTATGTGGATTGTTTTCTTACTCCTGGAAATATAAATAGTTCTGCAAATGATCAAGTAAAGTAACACTGGGGGTAATATTGTGCTGTTGTGAGGTATCTACTTTCCATCCATAATGTGCTTTTAGATAGGAATCAAATAATCTTTTTCTACTTCTGTCTTACATCCTCTATGACCAGGCATGTACCTCCTTTAAATAGCATTTCCCAAATACAACAGTTTCCATTACATGTATAAAGCATAATCTACTTTGCAGTTGCAAACAGCATGCATTAAAATTCTTCTTGCAGAGATTTTATATTTACTGTAGTACTGTTACAGAAGCAAATATTGGTATATATAATTGGAATATTATAATGAATCATCAATATATTTTTAAAGTATAGACATGATCTGAAGTTTAGGAAGGTAAATGATTGAATTCAGATAGCTTCCTAATGAACCCTAGATAGACTGTAACCTGTTTTCAAGTCTTCTACTCTTTCATATATACTTTTGGTCTACTTTATTCTTTTATCATTAATCATGAAACATGACAAAAGTTTTCTATTTTGAAAGTTCACTATGCTTGTTATATTTTAATACATTAATATCTCTTAAGGTGGCAGTTTCTTTTCTTTTTTATTTAGGAATATAGTTTGCTGATTCTTTTCATGTGAAAGAGAAGTCCCATTGGGTTAAAGTAGCTGAGAGTTGACTGGTTGATATGGGGCTGACATTTTCTGCAAAATAATTTAGAATGTTTACAAACTATTGTAATAAAAGAAGAAACCCAAAAGTCATTAGACAAAAACCAAAAATTGAAACCAAACATATAATAAAGAGGTTCTTCTTTAGAGAAAGAACAGTGAGGTTTAAAACTATAATTTGAATTTACATCCTATACTGTACAATGCTGTCTGTAATTATACTGTCCATAGAGCTTTGATAAATCTTATAATGCATAGTGACCATCATCAAATAATATTTTGAAGAACAAAGGAAAGAATTGGTGGCCACAGTAGTGAGGAAACCCAGGATGAGATAGTAACTTCAGGAGATAAAACAATGGTGTGTGGTAATCAAAACTCAATTGAGGATAAAAGAAATGTAGAATATAAAATGATGGGGGAAAGAAAGCCCTCTCAGTGAGTATAATCTTTTCCTGGAAGGTCTTAGAACTATGCTGGAAATCATAGGATTTCTCTGCATTGGATAAAAATTTCAAGTTATTTGATTTTGACAAGTTGAACCCATTGGGTCAGAGTTCTTAGGAGCAACTAAATCACAAATGGTTTGACGGTTTCCATTTACTTCTCCATGAAGGATTTTAAGAGACAAGAAGCCTCAAACTATAACTGAGAGAATGAAATTTGAAAGAAACTTTTGGTGAATTAATCAAATTGTGAAACTATGATTTTTGTAATTAGATATAGACTTATTTTTTCCCTCAAATAAAAGTGATATTATATAGTATTTTTTCTCTAACTTATTTCACTTAGCAAAATGTTCTCTAAGACCATCCATGGTGTAGCAAAACACAAGATTTTATTCTTTTTCATGGTTGAATAAGATTCCATTGTTTCTATAGAACATGTACTTGAAAGCACTAAGAGAGTGGCTCTTAAAAGTTATCACCAAAAAAAATGAATGGTAATTCTACAGCATGAAGAAAGTATCAGCTAAAACTGTGATGGTAATCTCATTGAAATATGTAAGTGTGTCAACTTAGTAATGTGCATTTAAGCTTATGCAGTGTTAATGCCATTGTGTTTTGTTTTCATTGGAAAAATGGAATTAAAATGCTTCTCACAAAGATAAGGTCATTTGCAAAGGGTGTGTAAGATAATTGCCAATGTTTTATCATATAAGATTAAAATTCATAAGATTTTTTGTGGTTTTAAAAATTATGCGTGTGTGTGTGTATGAAGGCTGCTTTTAGTATGATTTTAAAATATATATCCCTATAACCTTCTTTAGTACATTCATTATAGCAAATAGCAATTTATCTTCATCCCTGGTCTCTTCTGGTTGCCTTTTGCATGAAATATATTTTGCATTCTTTTATTTTAGCATCTGTGAGTTTCTTATAGACAGTATATACTTGCATCTTTTTTTCTTATCCGCTCAAAATTCTGTCTTTTGGTGGGTGCATTTAATCTATTTACATTTAAAATCTTTATTGGTCAGAAAGAAGTTATTATTTTAAATTTTGAAATTTGATTTTTTTGGTACTTCTTATGTCCCTCTTTCTCTCTGTTGATGGTTTTCCTTCATTGAACAATTGGTTTGATATTTTGATTACTTTCTCTTCTTTTGTATAATTTCTGTATTTTCGTTGTGGTTACCATGGGCCTTATCACCTTTTAAGTTAGAGAGTTTATCTATGACTCTTCCTCTCCACACTTCATATGTTTAATGTAACTTTTAAAATCTATTATTGTATATCCATTAGCATGTTGTTTACATTATATTTTTAATAGATTTATTTTTAACTTTTATAACAGAATTAAAAGAAATCTGCCCACCACCATTACAATTATGCAGCATTCTGTATATATCTATTGTTTATCAACTTATTCTAGACTTCCAAACCTCTCTCCTTCAACTTTTGTTTGTCTGAAAAGCTTTTATCTGCCCTCATTTTGGATGCATGGTTTTGCCTTGTTTGTCCTTTCTTCAGCACTTTAACTGTGCCAACCCACTCCCTGTGTTCTGCAAGATTTCTATGAAAAATCCCCTTAGCTTCTTGTGTTTTCCCTTGTTTGTGATAAGTTGTTTCTTTTTTGCTGCATTCAAAACCCTCTTTGTGACAAATTTTAAAATCAACTCTTGAAAAAGAAAATATCAAAATCAACAAACAACTGTGAACCAGAGATACTCCATGGGGTGTGGGGGGCGGGAAAGGAGGGATTGGGGTCAAAATAAGGGGGTTGTAATTAATTGTATGGGGAATATAAAAATAAAATTTAAATATAAATAAATAAATAAATTAAATAAACAAATGTATGTCTCTCTTGTCCTAGGGAAAATATATTGGTACATTTTAAGTCTAAAATAGATAAGTAGGGATTCGTAGATGATCATGGTAAGACATTATGTAAAAAGTATTTATTATGGAAAAAAAAAGGTGGGAGAAAAAAAAAATCAACTCTTGAGAGCTTACCATAGAGAGATCTTTGGCATTCAGAGGGTGAAGGTGAGGGGTGAGAAAGGGGGCGGGGGGATTCAGGGGAGGTGGGGAGCACAGTGGACTATGGTAGAAGACTGTGCTTCAGTAGTGGATATGCTGTGGTGACAACACCTGAGGGGGAATATCCTATACTAACAAGGATGTCATAGGAAATCCTATACCAATAAGGATGTAAAATGATGGTGCTTCTATCACAATACAAAATTTCTTCGTATTGACTTTTGATAATTATCAAGTATCTTTGTGTCGACTTCAGAACTGCTTTTGCTTCCTCATTTTGTATATCCTTTTCTTTTCTCAGATTTGAGAATTTTAAAGTTTTTTTTTTTATTTTGGATAGTATTTCCGTTCCTTTCTCACTGTCTTTGCATACTGAGACTCCTATAATGCATATACCAATCCCATCAATAGTGTCCAATATTTCCCTTTGGCTTTTTTTTTTTAAGATTTATTTATTTATGCATACAAGTGCTGGGGTACAGGCCAGAGATACAGGGTGTGAGAGGATTTACCAGACACAGAGTGGGAACAGAACAGGCAGACTGACTGAAATATACTGCTGAGGGGAGCAGCGGGCAAGACGGGAGAAGTCTGCTGCTCTATGTGGATTGCTCCCTGGCTGCCCGGAGATCGAACCTGAGCTATAGAGGTTGAGGACTGCTTCATAGTGCAGTGCTTAACCCCTTGTGCCACCAGGGAGGCCCTCCCTCCAGCTTTCGTACTGTTTTTCAGTGTTTTTTTTTTTTTCCTGTTCTTCTGACTATAGAATTTTAGACTTTTAGAAACATTTGCTGATGTAAATTTAGTTTGATCCAGTCTGCTGTTGAATACCCCTAGTGGATTTTTTCATTTTAGTTGTTTTTTTCATCTCCACAATATAATGCTTAATATTTATTGTTATCTTTCTCCTTATTGGAACTTCCACTTAGATCATGCACTGTTTCTAGCCACAGTGAGCATCTTTATGACAGTTACTGTCAATTCTCTGCAGGGAAATCTCATATTTTCATTTCATTACCATCATTGTGTAGTGGTCTATCATGTTTCTTTTTGGAAAATATTTCTTTGTGTCTTCATTTTTCTGACTCTCTGTGCTGGGGCGTCCATAGTACAGAAAACAATGTTCTAACATCAGGGACTTGCCCTGCTTTGGAGAAGATTCACAGCAATAAGTCCAGCCAGTGATTCTAGGGGCCTCTCAATTTTTATGTTCAAACCAACTTCTTTGTTTTTAGTACCCCCAACACCCCACCTGACCCGAGTGTTTGGTCTCATCAGTTTCTAAAACAAGGCAGACTGAAGCTATGTTTGCAGGCATTTCGCAGGCATGGTGCACCTTTTTCGGAGGCATGGTGCACCAGCACCAAGTTGGAGGAAGAGGATTTCTACCACTAGCTTTGTGCTAAGTTATGAGCAGGGACTCAACACCATCTTTGTTTTCTGTCAGCTGGGCAGGTAAGGTATGTCTTATCCCATGCCTCCTCCACTTTCTGAGACAGGTCATCCAGACCAAGAAAATCTAGGTCGTTGATGTGTGTCACACCCCCTTTCTCTCCCCACAGAGAAGTTGGGAGCTGGGATGTGTTGTCTCAGTCACATGGAATTGTGCAAGGATAGGTATCAGGACGAATGGGTATCTTGAGTTTCACTGACAGCTTCACTATGACTGGTTCCATGTTTGAATAGGGTGAAAGAGACTTAACTATTTTGTGGATTTTTTACAAAATTGATCTGTGCATGAATGTTTTGAAACATTGTGTTCATGGAAATGGCTAAGATTTCTGTTCTGCCATCTTGCTAAATGTAAAAGGAAGTTTATTTTTTTGTTCTTCATTAGAGGATGTACAAACCTAGAGTCAAGGGAAAGCATTAGTAGCATATTGCGTTCCCAAGGAATTAAACTGATTATTGTCCTAAGTGTAAATACAATCCCCCTATCACCTTATTATACAAAGAAACTTTTCCCAGAGAGAGTATGAGTAAATTACTATCCTTTGGTAACTGAGTATATATCATTAAATTTATCTTCAATCTTCTGTATCTAAGTGGCAAAAATGATTAAAGACAGTTCATTTTTGCCTATTGCTTTGGAGTACTCAAGGTCATAATCAGATACTATGATGTATAGTTCAGAAATATTTAGGGCATATCTGATTGCATATGAGTTGCCTATTCTTATAATCAAAGGAACCAAAACCTTGTGCCTGAAATTGACCATCCTTGTCCATGGGAGTAATACTAATAATATGAAGCATCAAGGTTTTCTAACATAAGGTGAGTTTCTGGGTTCCATTTAAATTAATATCCTATTTTTTGTTGTGAACTGCCCAGGACTTAAGATATGATACATTCTTTTGCAATTTTGCAGTCCTGAGAATTAAGTGTAATTGGTGGAAGAAGCTGTTTGAATGGGGAGCTGGGAAAAGTTTAAAATTATTAGGGGGCTCAAAAGATGTATCTTACTAGTCAGGAAGGGACTTCCCCAAGGATATCTCTCTCATTTTTCTATATTCATGACTTTTCTGATATGGAGAAGTACCTTGACTTCTTCCAGATTGTTCCATTGGATTTGGGGCAGAATCTTTAGTTCCTACCCTAATAACTCTAATCTGCATTAGACACTCACACTAAATACCTGGGGGTTAGTCTTCAATTTTACTGGTGACAAGAGGGTTGAAGTGAGTAAATAAAAGTTGTGATATAGAAGGATGATTTTGTCATAATCCAAAATTATTCTCCCCAACTTTTGACTTACACAACTTCATATTTGCAGGTGGAATCATTAGCCTTCAAATCAGTGGCTAAATTTTGCTGGGCAAGGGTACATTTTGTTTAATAAAACTCTAATAAGAGTCCACATCAATGTTTTATGTTAATGACAGAGTAGACTCTGCGGGTCCAAATTTATCTAGTCTCAGATCATCAACGTGTATACTCCACTCTTCTGAGGGGAGATAATGTGGGAAAGATGAGTTGTTTTATATGTAACTTTATTCTCCTGTGTCCACAGATTCTCTTAGAGAGGAATGGCTCCTGGAAATGGCTCATTTGTGACTGAATTCATTCTGGTGGGGTTAACAGACCGAGCAGATGTCCAACTCCCCCTGTTCATCCTGTTTCTAGTAATGTATATAGTTACTGTGTTAGGAAATTTGGGTTTGATAACTCTTATTGGGTTGAATTCACACCTTCATACCCCCATGTACTTTTTCCTCTTTAATTTGTCCTTCATTGATCTCTGCTATTCTTCTGTGTTTACACCGAAAATGCTGATTAACTTAATATCAAAAAAGAATATTATCTCCTACAAGGGGTGCATGACCCAGCTTTATTTTTTGTGTTTTTTTGGTATTTCTGAATGCTATGTGCTCACATCAATGGCCTGTGATCGCTATGTGGCCATCTGTAACCCACTCATGTACAACAGTGCCATGTCTCCTAACGTGTGTTTCAGCCTTATGTTTGGTTCATACTTGGTGGCATTTTCTGATGCTATGGCTCACACAGGGTGCATGCTGAGACTGACCTTCTGTGATGCAAACACCATCAACCATTATCTTTGTGACATCCTTCCTCTGCTCGAGCTTTCCTGCACAAGCACCTATGTCAACGAGCTGGTAGTTTTCATTGTGGCGGGCATCAATGTCATTGTGCCCACTGTCACCATCTTTGTTTCCTATGGTTTCATCCTTGGCAGCATCCTCCGCATCAGTTCCACAGGAGGCAGGTCCAAAGCCTTCAGCACCTGCAGTTCCCACATAATTGCTGTTTTGCTCTTCTTTGGATCAGGTGCATTTATGTATCTCAAGCCCTCTTCTGCTGGATCTATGGATCAGGGAAAAATCTCTTCTGTCTTTTATACTAATACAGTTCCTTTGATGAACCCTTTAATTTATAGCTTGAGAAACAAAGATGTTAAATTTGCTTTGAAGAAAACCTTATACAGGAGAAAGTTTTAATCAGAAACAGTGTCTTAGTGTATGAGTTATAGATTAGGATGGTTCTCTTTGTTTCATTAAAACATTATAGCAGTCTTATTCTATTTTTTTAACATAGTGAAAGAAATTTGAGTCTTCTATTGACAGTTCATTACCAGTCCTTATTAATTAGCTCTCTTTTTTCCTCACCTTTACTCAGTCTTCTCTACTTATTTTTTGGTGTTAGTTACAATATTAAGAATTCATTATCAGGGAGGGGGGAAAAGAATTACATTATCTATTTTTCATTGTGAATTGAACATCCTTTTCCTTTGGAAAAGTGAGTGGTCTTAAAAATCAAATTAAATAGCACTAGAGTGACATAATACCATTGGGAGTATATTCTGACGTTTTCTATTTAAAGCATGAATCACCTATTCTTTTTCTACTCCCATATTTCTATCATCAGCTTAGAAAGAATATGTTCTTTAAATGCTTGAGATTGAAGGGTCCATAAAAAATAACAAGGACAATCCATTTTGCACTGGTACACATTAATGCATTAAGCTTATCTTGGAAAATGGTTTCTTTTTTAACTAGGTACAGACAAACCAACACAAAAGAGATTGTCAAAATATATGTATTTGACTCAGACTGGTCAATGACTGAAGTCACACAACTTTACAAAGAAAAGACTTGATTTAACCCTTAGTCTTCTGCTATGGAGCCTACAACCTCTTGTAGTATAACTTGCTTCATTTATTTTTGTTTTAGTCAGCATGAAATATGAGAAAACACTGCAACTTTGAAAGTTGACTGTCCTTTGTTCCAATATGACAAATCAGTATCTCTCAGGATTGCTTAGTAATGCTTGTAGGTTGTTGTTGTAGTACAGGAAAATAGTTTTTGTGATTCTTTTTGTTGGATAAAGCTGATCTTGTGGGCAATATTTTGGGGGAGGTGATTGGCTCAAATAGAGTAGTTTTTCTACAAAATTTTAAAAATGCAAGTGAATATTTGCTGTGTTTGTAACTCAGAAAATGGAGCACAGTGGAAAAAGAAACCCAGAAATATGTCATTAGGCCAAGACTTTACAAGACTTATGACCAATAAATAAGATATTCCTGTGTGGGGAATCGTCATGAGAATTAGATATACGTATAATTTGAATTAGCATATTGTGTTTTAGAGTACTATGAACATTTTCTGTTGTTCAAAAACTTCATTAAAACTCCAGTGCTCCTGGGGCCTCCCTGGTGGCGCAAGCAGTTGAGCGCCACACTGTGAAGCTGTCCGCAGCCTCTGCAGCGTGGGTTTGATCCCGGCAGGCCAGCGAGAATCCCACATGGCGAGGCAGACCTCTCTTGTCTCACCTGCTGCTCCCCTCAGCAGTATATTTCCTCAGTCTGCTTGTTCTGTTCCCCACTCTGTCTCTGGTGAATCCTCTCACCCTCCCGCACATCTGGCCTGTACCCCGCTTCTTATATAAAAATAAATCTTTAAAAAAAGACCTCTAATGCTCCCAAAATACAATGATACCAAAAAAAGGGGGCGGGACCTACAATGCACAACGATGCTACATTAGTAGTATTTTTCAGAATGAAGGTGGAAAAGCTATGACCACTTTGGGGAAGTAGCTTCAAGAGAGAAAACAGTATGGGATAATTGAAACTCAGACAGGAGGAAGAAATTTAGAAAGCAAAATAATGGGTGATGATAGTCCCTATTTATTACTCTCATTTCCCTCCACAAAAATTTTATGGAGATCACAATATTTCTGTGGATAAACAGAAAAGTTATTTGATATTAAAATGTTAAACCAACAGGACAGTAAAACCAACACTCTTGCTGTTATTGGACCCATAAGTCACTTCCATATGATTTTAAGGTACAAAAACCTCAAATTGCAGCTGGAATAACAATAGCAACTTGAAGGAAAAATTTGGTGATAAACCAAATTACCATAGTGTCATATATGAAAAGATTTTTTCAATCCTTTTTTTTTTTTGAAAAAATACCCAAAATACTATTACTCTATAAATCTTCAACTTGACTTATTCAGTGACAATTTAAATATTGTTAAAAGATGCTTTTCTTAATGTTCACTATTTGTTGTTTTCTGGATCTTCACTCAATTTCAGATATTTGGAATTTCAATACGACTGGTTTGTTGATTTATTTTTCTTTTTAATGTTCTGCATTGCTAAATCCTTGTCTTCAGTTTTAAATGACCACTCATACTTCATCTCCTGACATCAATATAACATTCATCATTTTAACTTTCTAAATTCTGTTGTAAAAATAGTTAATTTTGGTTTGTGTTCTCTTTTCTTTTTTTTACTTGTTATTCCTTTTGGAAAATTAGTTTTATTTAATGAGGAAAATGTGCATCTAAACAATTAATAATATCTGTGCTATTTGAGAGCAATTTTTTTAAAGATTTATTTATTTATGCATACAAGAACTGGGGTGTAAGCAAGAGGTGTGGGTGGTGAGAGTATTCACCAGAGAGAGTGAGGAGCAGAACAGGCAGATCTACTGAAATACACCGCAGAGGAGAGCAGCAGGTGATGCAGGAGAGGTCTGGTGAGCCATGTGGCCGGCAGGGGAGCAAACTCCTGCAGCAGAGGCTGGTGATAGCTTGATAGTGCTGTTTTTAACCCCTGCCATAGCAGGGAGGCCCCTTGATATCAATTTTAAATATTGTAAAGGTGCATCCACTTACTTATCTTCATTCCATGAACCACAAAATTCAAATGACATGTTTTTGGGGTTTTTTTTTTAAAGATTTGTTTATTTATGCACACAACAACTGGGGTACAGGCCAGTGGTGTGGAGGGGTGAAAGGATTCACCAGAGACAGAGTGGGGAACAGTACGGGCAGACTGACTGAAATACACTGCTGAGGGGAGCAGCGGGCAAGACAGGAGAAGTCTGCTGTGCCATGTGTGTTGCTCCCTGGCTGGGAATTGAACTCGTGCTGCAGTGGCTGTGGACAGCTTCATAGGTGTGTCTTAACCCCTTGTGCCACCAGGGAGGGCCCTCAAATGACATATTTTATGAGAAAAAGTTTCTCTATTTAAGGATCAGAAAATAAAGGATCCTGATACAATCTGAATTTGTTTAATATAAGCTTTCTCTGAGTACACTGCTATTGATTCTCATCAGGTTTGTAATAAACATAATCGGAGACCATGGCTGTTAAGGGCTGATGAAAACAATAAATTAAAGGGATTTTGAATTCTATATCCCTTTATGCTGAACCCCCCACCCTGATGCTTATTGAACCCTATCCTCCACTGTTCTTTACACAGCCTCAGTACACACATGTGTTCAAGTTGCAGTTTATAAGATTCCTGCTTAACATTGATTATATGCAATGTCACCAGCTTTTACATTAAATTAGATGGTTCCTGGTTCCAGCTCAATAAGATAGGACTGTGCAGGAAGTATTTACTGAATCTGACAAGAGGAAATGGTTATTGCATCAATCATTTTTGTTGTTGTTGTTGTTGTTTTTTCTAGACTACACCTGAGGGGGCAGGGAAGCAAACATTGTTTAAAAATGAACGATGGTCTCACTCATAGCAGGAATCTAGAAAACTTAAGGGACCAGGAAAATGAATAACTATAAGAAAGTGAAAATCAAAATCAACAAAAAACTATGAACCAGAGACACTTTTTGGGGGGTGGGGGCCGGGAGGGGAGGGATTGGGGTCAGAATGGGGCATGTGCAGTTGTATGGGGGAATATAAAAATAAAATTTATTATTTAAAAAAAAATAAGGGTGTTGCAATTGTATGGGGAATATAAAAATAAAATTAAAAAAATGAATGATGATGTAAAAATATATAAATAAAAGGAAAAAATCAATTATTTTTTAAATAAAAATACCTGGCAATGTGTGGCAAAATAACCTATGTGACAAAGATTGAAAAGTCAACATTAGAGACTGATAAAAGGATACATTTTCATAACACAACACAGTAGAGTTGAATCCTACACGGACAGATTCTGAAATTGGTCTGACATAGCCAAGATTATGCCTGAAAGTTGATCATATCAGCAAATGTCCTCCTGGAGGGACAGATCTGATATTTCCCCCCAAGTAAGGCACAGCTTGTTTTGCTCTTGCACATTGGGACATTTCACTGTGCATTCAGTCTTTCACAGGGTGAAATAGTTGGTTTATATACAGGGCTTTGTTGTATAAAATGTGTACTTTTAAATTGAAATCTCACAAAGTGTTACAACTTTTACCTTCTGAGGTAGAGACCCCTGGGAGGGAGGGCTGGTAGAGTCACTGGGCTGTTGAAAGTCTGTCTCTGATGTGAGATTGAATAGACACTCTTAGAAAATAGAAATGTGTGCAAGGTTTTACATTTACTCTCAGGATTGTTGATGTTAATGTTTTGTGTATAATCACTATTTATAAGTGGTAGTACTGAGATTAGGTCTTGGGTGTTTTGATTCTTAGCCATCAATGGTGCTTTTTAAATTATCATTGAACACAGTTTACCATGCTTTGAAAAATCAATTTTATGTAAACAATGGTTTTAGTAAATTCAGATGCCTTTGCACAGAAATATGTGCAAAATACTCAAAAGGAAACCTTTCCAAAAATTATTTCACAATTGATATTTCTAATGTGTTGATATATTCCTTTTGACATACTCCTACACAATAAATGGAAGCATACAAGGATAACCTATATATCATTATATCAGGTGTTTACTAAGTCCTAGGTTCAGTAGTAAATTTGCACATTCAGTATCTTATTTAATCTTCAGTCCATATTTGGGAGCCATCATTGTGATTATGCCATTGTTGCAAAATGTCTTAGATTGAAGATTAAATGAATTGTTAATCTTTGACTATTGAAAATGAATTTACTCATTGGGGAAATCCTTAACTATGATAGATTTCTAAGCACTAGTTAAGCAACTGGGATAAAATTGTATAAAGTAAAATATAGTATTTTGCAGATCAGAACATTTATATTGTAGTTGATATAATGTTGAACCTTAAATCATTCTTTTTCC